TTGTAGCAGATTTGTACTAGAGTCTAAATGACAGAAAGAGAGAGAGAGAGAGAGAGAGAGGAGAGAGAGAGATATCCGCTAAATATAGATTCGGTTTACACAAGAGCCAAAAAGGTAAACATAGATCTGACTTATAATGAAATAAAAAACAGACAGGCATAAACTCAAGCATTTAGATATAGTTTCGTTTTACGCTACCATTAAAAAGACAAATATATTTCCGACATATATTAGAGTATAAAAGGTAAATAGTGGTTGTATTTAAGCTAAAAAAAGTACCGGTTTATACTAGTGTCTAAAAGGTAGATATTCCTCCGAATTATACTAGAATAAAAAACAAATATAGGCATTGCTCCTTGTTATGCCTAAAATAAAAAGTAGATATTGGTCTGGTTTATATTAGAATCAAACCGATATACATAGAGTAGGCGGGAGTAAATATTCGTATACACACATTTATTGTATTTCCAACTAATGAATAAACATAATTTTCATATAATTAACTGTACACATATACATAATAACTAAATATGCATAGAAAACAGAAACAAATTGATTTAAAAGAAATAAATCCCATTTATCCATTTTAATGCATGAAAAAAAGTATTCATAGAATGCAAATTTCAGATTTTAAACATTTTTTTAATTCCTTTAATCCACCCGATTGTTCAAGTGGAATATTCTAGAATGTTCCAATAACGATATCAATAGTTATTTGTAGCCTAAAAATACAAACAGAACATTCTGTAATTGATATTCGTGCAAGAACCTTTTTCATCATTCGCAAAAAGAAATAATTGTTAAGCTCTGAAAAGAAGGTAAAAGTTACAGAAAAATTTTAGACAACCTGAATATTCCATGTACTACCATTAGTCCATTCATTGCAAGGTATAAAAAGATCAAAAGTGTTGAAAAGCAAAGAACATGTGCTCCACGGAGGATTCCTTGAGGAAATTAATGCGTCAAATTAAACAAAATTCAATGGTTACTCGTCAAGAATTGCCAGATGATTTGCTTTCAGGCTAATATCTGCCAGCAGAAAATAAGCAATGAAATTCATAAGAAAAATCTCAAGTCACGCCCTCACCGAAAACTCAACGACTACTGAAAAGACACAGAGATGCCAAGAATTTGGTTTGTGGACATAAGAATAAGGAACAATCGTATTAGGAAAGAGTATTATGGACAGACGAAACCAAGATTGAATCGTTTGGACATAATTCTAGAAATCATGTCTGGAGGAAAAGATGACGATACCTTCAAAAAAGAATACAATTCCAATAGTGAAATTTGTTAATGGCAGCATAATGGTCTTGGATGTTTTTCTGTAAATTCTCCTGACAACATATCAGTAATGGATGGTAGAGTGAATGCCGCAGCATATCAAAATATTTTGGAAGCAAATTTAATGATTCCAGTTGAAAATCTTGAACTTCCTCCTGATTCGATCTTCCAACAAAATAATGATCCTAAGCCCACTGCAAAATGTATGAAAAAATGGCTTGCTGAAAATAATGTAAATAAACTGAAATGGCCAAGTCAATCACCAGATTACTTTTCTCGCACTTCTCGCTTGTGTAAATATTTTCAAGTCACATGTTTTCCAGCCACCTTTTCTTACAAAATGTAAATGTAGTGCCTATTGTTATCTACTGTCTTCTGGAATACACGTCTGTTGTTCTTGCTCCTTAATAATGTTTCATTTTTTTTCTTTTTATTTCACACACAGTAAATTCTTGTGTGTCAGTTGCTTTACTGCCTTGCATGGGGTGAAATGATTTAAAAAAAAATCCTGTTTCGTATAAGAAAGTAAGTTACTTGTAACAAACTAAATATCTATTAGGTCTTTTGAGTACAAATCCAGTTCAGTTGAAATTCGGATGATGCTTTCCAGAAACTAAACTGTTATGGTGAAACACAGCTATTCTATAGTTAATAGACTCTCCCACCTAATATAAGTAGAAACGACGGTCGGTCGATATCGGACGACAGTTAGTCGAATACGAAAGTATCAGCGACAACAACATAAACCATGTATTAGTTAATAGGTTAATTGCCTCACAAAAAAGAAAACACTGATGAACTGTTCCTCTACTTCAGGGAATGCTGGAAATTTTCCTTACAGAGAAAAACGAGATTTGAAGACAACTTCCATTTCGAAATTCCATAAGAAATATTGAATCAAATCAAGAATTCGACCAGAAATGACATAATCCTCCAACTTGTAAAGATAAGCAGAATCCCAAATTTTTTCAACCACCTTCGAGATGTAGTTTTTCCAAGCGATGCTGAGAATACCCTGGACACATATGAAAGCAAGGAGGAAGTTTAAGGACATTGTGAATAAAAAGGCTACTTATATTTACAATCAGAAAGAATATCTGGATAATATTTGCAGGGCATATCGGAAGCGAGAGGGAAACAAAGAATAATCTATTCAATGACTTTATGTAAATAGATGGCAGATTAGGTTAGAGTTAATGTGACAAAGGTTGGTTCGACCTACAAAGGAAAGGAAGCTGTAGAGAGTTGTAATCTCCCACGTTCGAAAGGGACACGGCTCACAAAGAAGAAAAAGCAACTGAAAAGTGGAACGGATGATGGAATCTGCGTATTGGGTTTCAAAGGAAGGATTTTGATTTCAGACTATTTGTTCTATTATTGAAATTTAGTTTTCTGAAAAATCCAGATGTGAGCAGAGAGGCTAGTCTTAATTGTGGCTGGACAAACACACAGTTGGAGTGGGGGCTTACAGATGCCGTTTTCTAGCCGCTGTTTGATTTAGCTTTAGGAAAAGACAGATGCAGTTAGGGAGGTTAAACTGTCTTGTTGTGGGGAAGGCACGCCTCGAATATTTATTACCAAATTAATACCAAAAAAGGCCAACAGACGATACGCTCAACAATTGAGAATGCAATATTCTCACCCTCCATAAGCTTTCTCAAAATCATTTTATTGTCGACTTACCGGGTGTCAACTTACATCAAGGCATCGCAGTTGGTTCTCAAGATATGAATGAATATGTACTCGAAAGACCTAATAAATATTTAGTTTATTACAAGCAACATAATTTCTTATATGAAAACAGAATAGTTTCTAAACTTTAAAATCATTTTACCTCACCCAAGGCAGTAAAGCAACTAACACACAAGGATGGTTGTAGGGGTAAGTCACTGTTGCCTTCTTTTGTAGAGTGTTGTTAAAACCCAAGTTTCGCTGATCTCATTGGTCTATGCTAGTACTGTCAGGAGTAACCAAAGAAAACATGCGGCGTAATTAAACGAAGAGGCCCTTTTTTTTTTTAATTCTAATTTCGAGGAAATAACAGTAAGCGTAAGCATGCGTAAATCTCATTAATCATGAGGTTGGGAAGAAATTAACGCAAACGAAGCAACTAAAAGTAATAATAATAATATATTGATAATGAAATCAAGAATTTAAAAAAAGAAATCAAAGACAGGGAAGAAATATATTTATGAGTATATTAATGAATTTCTTGTGTCGTGTTGCAGATCCGATTTAATTAATCGAAAACAGATCTGATAGATAAAGTTTTTGTTTCCCAAATGAAATCGCGTAATGAAATTTCTTAGCTGAAAGATATCCCACTAATTACGGAAAAGAGATTTAGTTAATTGCATACGCGTTTAAGAAAAAAAAAATCCTAAAATAAGCAATTCGCTTAGAAGCAACTGTACTTAAATTTGAGTAAAACTTTACTTCACTAGTGTGAAAAAAAATAGAACGAAAATTAAACAAAAGCAGATTCTAAATACTTTATTTACCAAATACATTATCTTATATCGATTCTACTAGTTGAATTACATTGAAATCTCTTTCCTTTTTAGTTTTTAAAATTCAAGCATAAAAATTAAGGTAACAATATAATCGACATAATAATTAATTTAGTGGCATAATAAGCAGCCCGTGTACTGTTCAAATTCTTATGTTGCCTATTGATATGTTCCAGAATGGGATATATTTGTTCGAAGTAGCAAAGTGGTTGTGGACTACTGTAACTGAGTAGAACAATCTAGCAGGTAACCGTTATGGACTGGTCCTCGTCATAGTGGTAGGCAATAGGCGTCTTCCATAGGCGTCCTCATCAGTCTGTATTTATGGCTGACACCAGCCAATCATATTACTGTAAGGGGGAACCCAGGTGTATGCATATTCATTACATCACTTACATTAATGTATGTCTCAGTTGAGTGAAAAAAAGGATTCAGATTTTTTAGCTAAACGATTCCCTATACAAAGTTCTACATTAAATAACCTAACATAAAAGCAACCAAACAAAACTTTCCGTTTTTTTAACAGAATTGAGATTATGGGGATATGGAAAATAGATAACAGTTGACATTTGATAGCTATTGACGTTTGGTAACTACTGACTTTTGAAAACGTAGGGTTCTCGTCCACAAAATAACGCTTCTTGGGAAGACTCTTTCCGTGTGCAATATCCTTCTTAGAAAAGAAATATCTAGAATCCAGACCAGTGGTTGTCCCAAGAGGAGTCTGTAACGTTCTGAGCTGCTGACACTAAAATTAAACCCCCGTAAAAATCAATGTAGTGAGAGAGTAAGGAAAGGATTGTGAGAAAGGAATTGTAAGCGGGGAATTTGTTTGAAGTGTCTGTAATCAAAATATGATGAAACCTGTTATATCACTAGACAGAACGTTGATCTATTAACTTTTTACCTAAGGCAAGGCTATAAAGTCACTAAGACTTTTATGTGATATCAGTCCTGCTATATGGTAGTGAATATTGAACAATCTCCTTACAGATTTGAAGCAACAAAAATATGGTACTACAGAAGGATTCTATGAATACAGTGACTAAGAGATGACTAAGCGTGATAGAGTCCGAGCAAAATTACCAAGGGTATTTGTGCGTACGAGAATATAACGGATCCAAAGAGAACTCGAACTATGCTCTCCGATTAACAATTTCGAGCCATTGTCCACTACATGGCCTGCACATACACACTTAGAGGACTCGTTATTCCCAAGGGTTCTCGCATCTAGGTACTGAACTGGCTCAACATTTCTTAACTTTTGTGATCATACGAGAACCGGTTTTTCAACTTGATGTAACCGTAAGCCTAAAATATATTAAACATCACGAATCAGGTCGTATTGTATTGTAAACTACTAGATATCTACGCTGATTTTTTTTTTAAATACTACTATATGCTCGCCAGATTATACCAAATTCTCAGGATCAAGATTTCAAAGTGTCTGGAAAACGTACATATGCATCAACAACAGGCAAAATAAGTTCCCGATTGACGTATAACTACAGCAACGGGGGTTAATTAAATATCTATAATTGTCTATCTCCTTTGATATATCTTCTTCTTCTTCTTCTTCTTCTTCTTCTTCTTCTTCTTCTTCTTCTTCTTTGTGCGGTGTCCATTCAGGATGCTGGCGATGATGGCTCTTCACAATTTCCTCTCCTTTGTAGCTCGTAATCATGTCTGTCTTTTCGTTCTCTCTCCTAAGCCTTGTTCTGACATGTATTCTTCTTACTGATAATATACAGGGAGAGATAGAAAGTGAGAGGTGACAATCGGACAAATGTTTTAGAATTCTTCTGAGCAACCAATGTATGCCATGGAGCAGTGAAACAGAAGATAACATAAAAATAACACAAAACAAAGAACTACCAGCTCTTTTTCTTCTTAGTGACTGATATACTAACCAAACATCTACAATTTACAGACCAATAATTAGTCAAATTGAATTTAACAAATAAAACAGTCTACAGTGGGAGATAGAATTAGAGAGATGACAATCGGACAAATGTTTTAGAATTTTTCCGAGAAACTCATATGTTGCTCTTAGACCTTGCTTTTACTGTGTGGAGCTTTCAAGATGATCACGTGATATCTGTATATTTGGGAGACCAGACAACAAAGTAAGGAAGATTTATATTTCAGGAATCATTGATACAGAGAACATGATTTTTCCAGATTATAACTATTATTAATAGAGAAAAATTGGCAGGATAATCTTACTTTCACTTTGAGCACTTCATTTTTGGCCGTCTGGTCAGGTAAAACATAAAACCTATTCGAAGGAAACTTGACGGTCTTGTGTTCTACAAGCAAGGTATGACTAATGGCCGAAGAAAACAAATACATAGAAATAACTCAAGCTCATCAAGCAACCGATTAAGCAACTTGAGGCCTGAAAAACCCGTTTTCCTAAACAAACTGACTGCCCACACTGACAATGGAGGTGCTTATTAAAAAAGTGTGTATACCTTTACGTATCTTTTTGATGTCTGCCAAAAATGTGATTCTTGCTATAAAAATACACAAAAATATAAAATTTGAAATCTTTAATTCAAACACTATCGCAAAAATACTAGGCACAAAAAAAACATTCCATCAGATACCACAAACAAGTATTGGAATGTTCCTGACTCCACAACCAAAAATAGCAAACAGAGCAATGTGAATGGCCTGATATAACACAACATAAATGCGCAAATATATTAGCATCGTCTTCCCATCGTTTCTCTTCTCGTAGATCCAGATTAATGTTGCTGCAATCGTTGCCCCTACAATCACTGCATGATATTATGCACGTGAGACCATGTTTCCGGCAAGAGTAAAAGTTTATACTGTAAAGACTCTTGGACAAAATCTTGCACTTACAAAGCACAAACTTCAGTAGTTCCTCAAGAGTAGATATAGATCGCTAAGAAATACGGCTAAAGTACCGTTTCTCATTTCCAAACCCTAACTGCAAAGATCAATTTGGCAATGATCTAAAGTCTTTTAAATCATAATTAACTTCAGTAATTCCACAAGAGTAGATATAGATCGTTAAGAACTGCGGCTAAAGTACTGTTTCTCATTTCCAAACCCTAACTGCAAAGATCAATTTAACAATGACCTAAAGTCTTTTAAATCATAATTTGAAGATAGACACGGAGATTTTGAAACAAAGATGACCGTTCAGTTGGAAGCAGTCTTTCAGGCTGTAACTTCTTCGTCGACGTTGCGGTATACTCCATATATTTGATGGTTCTGGGTAGTGCAATGAATCATGTGGCTTTCCTCCATACATCTTGGCGAAAATCTGCGGCCCTGCAGATGCAACTTTGGCAGGAGAAGCAGTTCATCAGCTAAAGTAGATCAACAAGATTGGATACACTTTGATGTATGAAGAAGCCGGATCATCTCACATTTACCCATACCCAAATACAGCTGCGGTTGAGTCACATCCACCCTATGCGTGAATAACTCGCAATTCTTGCAGAATATTGGCGTTTATCTTCTCTACAATTTCACGGATGCTGAGCGGGTTTTTCATCTTTTTCCCGAGACGTCTTTCCCTCGAAACTCATATAGATATAAGCCATGTCTAGGGAAAAGTGGAAAAGTAATAGAACAACGATGACGGTGTCATCTGCTATTACAGTCACTACATTTTCTTTAGTAGCTAGTTTGAGAGTTTCAGAAACAATGTCCGTGTATTCGTCTCCCTCACTTTGAACGTCTGCTTTGTAGGAACATCCTGACAAACTGAACTTTTTTCTCATTTGAGAGAAAGAACTCTTGATGACAAGCAACATGCAATCAATCCTGGATTTGTATATTAAGAGCCATCCGAGCTGCTATTCGCTGTCCTTCATGGTCGTTTATGAACGACCCTGCATATCAATTAAAAATGTCGTACTTGGCTTTCAGATTCATCTATGTCAGTTCATGATCTTTTATGGGCAGCCTTACTGTTGTGGTAGGATCCACCTAATTTGCATAGTGGAGTACCGACCATATAAATATGGTTGGTACCGGGAAGAGAGGAGAGGAATCAAGAGATTCAACCAGAGACTCTGCCCGACTGCGACTCAGTCAACACATTCTCCAGGAACGGTCTTCCCAGGAATATACAAAAGACTATATGTAAATATTGTGTACACTTTTTTGTTTCAATACATTTTGTTCTAAGTACATTTTGTGTTGCATTATTATTCCATGCATTAGTCAAGTTTCAACACTTACATAAAACTCAAAAAAGATTACGTACTTGGACTTCAGTTTCAGGTACGTCAGTGGTCAGATGATATTTCAGCACGACTTTGTCTTTCTTATGTGGAAATTCTTGAAAATTGAAGTTGGACATGGAGTAAGTTCACACTTTAAGAACGGGGTGACATCTTCGCATCTTTCCAACAGAACAACCAGCCTTGAAAACAGAGCATTAATCTGAACATTTAGACTAATAATCTTTAAATATTTTCCAGCTCAACAAGCATACGCATTTGAGGACTTGTTTTCAGTGAGTTCTCTAAAACGTTCCCGTTGTCAAGCTTTTTCTAGTTAGACTGACCAGTCTCCTCTACAATATCACAATTTTCCAGCACCATCGGATGCTGTCAAACTAGATAATACTGATCGTAGCTCTGGCTGGCTTGGGTGAAGGCAGATGTGCTGAGAGATCCAATTGAAGCCAAGGATCATATCAACAAGATCACTCTTTCGATATGCGCTAGTCGTCTTTAGGTTCTGCTCGATATTTCTATGTGCAAGACAGGTCAATGTTGTTATGGCATCACGCACTCGGACGCAGATGTGCCTGTTATACATTTGCACTAATCTCACTGATTCTGTAAACCCTCATCCTGTAGTTAGCCTACTTTTACTCTCTATGGATATCCTAATCACTTTTTCAATAATAAGGTAAGTTGACATATTGACCCAGTAATGTTCACTGCGTCACCCAGAATGAAAGCCGTAATCTGCGAACTGTTGACTTTTTTAGGCAATTCTATGATCCATTGCAGGTGCACTCTTTTCATAGTTAAAAGATGCAAATTCCGACCTCGTTTCGGCACGAATAAATAGCTTAAGTAGGCCAGCCATGACTTTGCTGTTCTTGATTTGCTCCTGAATTAATGCATCAGCGTGTCGAGCACCCTTATGCAGTTTTTGCAGTTTCATCAGTACTGAGAGCAGTTTATTATTCAAAAGTTTTTTCCACAAGGCTATTCATCAGTACTGATCTCATGGAAATTGTCTTAGTTTAGTGTTTATTCAAAACAGTTTATCATTTCCACAGGATAAACTCCTCTTTTCTCATCTGCCTCTGCTACATCAGCTGAGTCCGCTAGCTGAGAAATCAGTTGGTCAGCGACTACTGAAAGCACAGGATTGCTAATTTTGCTCACCATGACTGCATTAAAAAGTCGTGGACCCAGTAACTAGGAATACAAAAGCAATATGGATATTCAGATTTCTCAAACTTGTATTGCAGAATAGTATTCCTCTTAGAACACAAATAGCGTCGAACCAGCATAAATCATGGAAAATCTTTAAAAAAAAATAAATATTCAAATACAGGCATTCAGCAAAATTCCTGTATTCTTTATCATTCATTTCGGTTTGCTTTTCACTTCAGCGATTTGTAACAATCCAAATAAAGTTCACATTCAAATAAGTCTGTGTTTCTTCAATGCTAACTATTAGCTGATAATATCTAATCTATAAGAATAGGAAGTAGTTACAGATTATATTGCACAATCGGGAAACATAACTTCAACTACTAAACTGGCAACATAATGACAGACTAACTCGTAAAATACAGGTGAAATGACCTGTGTATGAAAACCACTTACAAGTGAGAACCACTTAAGTGGCTAACAATCATGTTTCACCTTATAGCACCTGTTTTTGGAAACAAAGTGATTCTCAGACTAACGGCTGTAAAGAGAATTCCTTAACGTGAATTATAGAGTTTTTTATTCTTTTTTTTTTAGAATATAAAATTCAGCTTTCAATGATATAAAATATATCTTCGTTTTTTTTACACCTTACATTCAGTGTAAATCGACCATAATTACAGGAATAGTGTGGATAATTCAGTTGTCAAAGTTCACACCCTTTTTATGAGTTACATTAAAAAAATGGTAGCCCAAGACAATGTTTTTGCATATACAACAGTAGACTTTTATCCATTGCCGGTTTGAATTTGAATGTTTTCCTTGTATATAGAATATTATTGTCTAATTATGAACTATTTTAATGAATCCAAAAATAACATCATTTTTCTTCCTTTAGTCTTTGTGCGCCTGTACCAGAATACTATAACTATAAGTATAAATGAGAAGAAAATATAAATGCTTATTCGAAGCAATTTTAGTGGGAAATAAACCACATCTTAAATACGAACGAAATATAACAAAATAAATGATTAAAACTAAATCTTCTGATAATACACCTAAGGCATTTCCCAAATAAAATATCACACAAAAATGAGGTCATTTCAAAGATCAAACGCCCTAAGGATGGCCGATCACAGTATTAATAAAAAAGAATCTAAGATTCACTCGTTTTTGCATTTTGCAGTGTTTTGTGTAATATATTTTGCAATATTTTATATAATATATTTCGGAATTTTTTCGTAATATATTTTGCAATATTTTGTGTAATATATTTCATAATATTTTGTGTAATATATTTCGCAATATCTTGTGAAATATATTTCGCAATATTTTGTGTAATATATTTTGTAATATTTTGTGTAATATATTACACAAAATATTGTAAAGGAAGTTTCAAATAACTTGAACTTCAATGACTTTAAGCATTTTGGCAAATATTTTGAGCAGACTAGTTAATTAATATAAATTTATCAACTGGACTATGTATCCTCAATAATAAAAGTAATCATAATACGTCATCTCAGAGATATAGACAGATAATATAACTTTGCAAATTATGACAAACATTTGAATAATTTTACATGTTTTTTTTTTACTAAAGTTTTATATCCAAAAAATAAATAAATAAATAGATAAAAAGAAGCAGTTAAAACATTAAAATATTACTAAAATTGTATTCAAGAATTAAATTCTATTAATCACAATCTCAAATTTATTCATACTATTTTTAGTCGGACTATTGTTATCTTTGTTTTTGATATGACAACCTTTCGACCGTTGAACCCACCGGTCTTTCTCAGGACTATATCGAGCTAGGCATACATAACAATAATGGCGAAAACAATAAAACATAACATATCAGCGGAGTTTCTGTTAGCCGGTTAAACAAAGAATTTTATGATTCGAGAAATATTCCCGGACGCAAGTCGACTGAGCATACCACAAAGAAATAGGTAGATAAAATACGCCCCCTACAAAAAACGAGCAGATCCATGAAAACATACGACAGGAGTAGACGAGTTCGAATGGTCTCTTTCTTTCATTTTATGTGCCATGTCCTTTCAGGACGTAGGCGATCATGACTCTCCGCCTCCTTCTACCCCTTGCAGCTCTCAACAAGTTCCTTTCCTCCGCTTCCTCCTCCAGACCACGTTCTGTCATTCACTTGCGTAAGTCCGCCAGGTATGTGATGCGTTGTTTTCCCTTGTTTCACTTTGCCTCAATTCGACCTGTGAGTATCAGATTCTCCAAGTCTTCCTTCCTCGTTATGTGCCCTAGAAATTTCAGCTGCCTCTTCCTGATAATAAGTATAAATCTCCTCCTTGTTTGCAACCTCTCTAAGATCTCATCGTTTCTCACACGCACTGTCCATGATATCCTTAGAATCCTTCTGTAGAACTACATCTCTGTCGCTACGAGTCTCTTCTTTGTCTTTGAAAAAAATCGTCCAACATTCACTACCGTAAAGAAGAACAGATGTCACGTAAGAGTTCAGTATTATTTTCTTTGTTACCAAAGATATCCTCCTGTCTAGCAATACTCAGCTTTTAGAATGTGTCCTTGGCCATCCCAATACGCCTGCGGATCTCATTGTCGCACTTACCGTCTTCTGTCAAGACGCTTCCCAGATATTTAAACTCCCGTCAATTGAAACCTTTATTTATTATAGGGGTGTAGACTGATCTCGTTCCACTGATCATGTCTAGGGATATCGTATAGTACTTATTTTTATTGAGTACTGTTCGGTTATTTCTCATCTGTTTCCACTGAGTGTAAGTACACACTGTCCGACCTAGGGATTGAAGACACAATCACTATGTCACCAAATTCACAAACTATTTCATCCAGTACGCCATTGTCCCGTAGCACAATCTGTTGTAGTTAGCTTGCAGTCTTAATCCTAACTTGCATGTTCATTACAGTTGCTAGTGCGGCTGTCTGTTATATCTTGGCTGCAGCTACTCCCCATGTTTTGATTTCTGCTGCTGCAGTTTAACGCTTGCTGTTATTCACCATTATTTCTTTATCAGTGGCTTCCATATTGTACCTATTTCAATTTTAGGCTTACTAAAGAGATCCTCATATTCTAGCATATCGTTGATTCTTTAAGACGTCTAATTCGTCAATGTTTTTTTTAATGTCCATTATTTTCACTTCATTCAACAGGCTACACGTTTCCCTCTATATATGATCAGCCATGTCCAATTTCATTCTCACCTCCGTCAGTGCAGATTTTCGATGATCTTCCAGCCCTAATTATAGGGGGGATGCGGTTTGCTTCACATTTGTTATTCTTTGTCACAAATGCAAGAAATCCAGTCCGGATATACATAGTGTAAATAATGATAACTTCGCATTTTAGAAATTCATGCAGAAATTATGGAATCGTTACGGATCAGATGGGGTAAACC